ACCCTTGTTCATCTTGACCTTTGGAGATCAAGACAGAAAAAAATCCCCAGTGTGTCATTTACTTCAGTATCTCCATCCTGTCTGATTGGAGGGCTGTAAAAAGCCTCTTCCCCAGGTGGCAGGACCCAAGTAATAACCACACCCTTCTAATGGAGCCTCACCCCCATGTGCCCATACTCCACAGAATAATATTAGACTCTAAGAACTCTCGAGACTTCCCTGGAGGTCCAGTGGTTATGAATCTGTGCTTCCACTGAAGGGTGCACAGGTTTGACCCCTGGTCAGGGAAATAAACTCCCCCATGCCATGTAGCTGGACCAAATAAATAATTAAAAATAAATTCAAACACTCTAGCGTTGGGTTTCCTGGGAGGCTCAGTGGTAAAGAATCCACCTGCCAATGAAGGAGGCACGGGTTCAATCCCTGTTCTGGGAAGATCCCCGCATGTGGCAGAGCAGCTAAGCCCGTGCACTACAGCTGTTGAGCCTGTGCTCTAGAGCTAGGGAGCTGCAGGTACTGAGACCGTGCACCCCAACAACTGACCCCACAGGCCCCAGAGCCCATGCTCCGCAACAAGAGCCGCTGCCACAATGAGAATCCCACACACCGCAAGTGGAGAGTAGCCCCGGCTCTCCACAACTGCAGAAAAGCCCAACCAGCAATGAAGACCCAGCAGAGCCAAAAGGACTAAAATTATATGTGTGTGAAATCCTCTAGGACCACACTCATACTGTGAGGAGGGACTGCAGAGGTCACTCGTCCCACATTCACTGTGCAGCCCAGATCTGACATTTGCAGAAATGGGCTTTGCCGGGACCTGGATGGTAAAGTGTGATATTTCTGAATCCATTCTGTAGTGGGGAAAATAGTACACTTAACAGTCCATTAAGTCATCATATATTCTTACTTATGAAGCTCCTCAATAAAAAATATCTTTAATTAGTAGACTCCGGAGCTTAGCTTTTCAACAAAACTCATCAAGGTAAGAATGAGGACCCCCATCCATTCTGGGGATTGGAGCCAGAGTCCCATCAGCCTGGATCTCAAAGAGATGCTCTGGGGCTCAGCACAAGCAGGTGATTAAAAGCCCAGGCTTTTATGTATATTATCTATAGTGAAACAGATCACCAGCCCAGGTGGGATGCATGAGACAAATGCTCGGGCCTGGTGCACTGGGAAGACCCAGAGGAACTGGGTGGAGAGGGAAGTGGGAAGGGGGATCGGGATGGGGAATACATGTAACTCCATGGCTGATTCATGTCAATGTATGACAAAACCCACTCCAATGTTGTGAAGTAATTAGCCTCCAACTAATAAAAATAAATGAAAAAAAAAAAGCCCAGGCTTTTGAGTCTATAAGACTTAATACCACACTCTCCACTTACTGGCTATGTAAGTTTGCTTCACATCTCTGTGCCTCAATTTCCTCACCTGCAGTATGGGAGTAATATCTTCTTCACCGGAAGTAAGGATTAAATATGATAAAGAGCTTAGCACAATGCCTGGCACATAGAATGATTGGTAAATAGCAGGTACTGTTGGTGGCAGCCAGGTTCAGGCCATTCCAAAGCTCAGACCGGGTCCTTATTAGGCGACAGGTCATGACAGGACATGATGGGACATCGAGGAAAGAAAGACCAAGACAGGGGAGATCATCCAGTGTCTGAGGACACTATTCCCCTACTCTCCTCCCTATAAAGGCCACTGCTGCCTCTTTGGGCAGGGGGACTAGGGAAACTGAGGCAGGCATCGTCCCATCCTTCTTGCTTCCACTCTTCCCATGAGCAGACACCCCCTAAGTGATTCAGCCTCCATGCCAAAGTATGTCAGGTCCCCAGAACTGGGTGGTAGAAAGGTGGCCCTCATGCTATAACCAAAAGTGGGATCCAGCTGTTCACTGCTCAAAAGCCAATAAAGAGGCAAGATTGGTGGAGAGGAAAGTTTGCTTTATTTTGGATGCCGGCACCTGGGGAGAATGGCGGACTTCTGTTCAAAGGCTGACCACCCCCACCCCAACCACCACAACCAGTGGGCAAGACTTTTTATAGGCTGGGATGGGGGCTACACGTGGAAACAGCACAGCCAGCTCTGACAGTCATCTTGAAATTGGTCATCGGTGGTCTGACCAGCGTCATCTTGATTGTTTTAAGTACAATTAATCTCCAGTTCCGGGGTCTGTTTGTTCCCATTTCCTTGAGGCCAGTTCTCAGAGCTGCGGCAGTACAGTTAACAGTCTGGCCATTGGGCAGTTAACTTCTTCCACCTGGTGGGGGTTTCAGTATCTATAAGGCCGCTCATGGATATGGCTCAGAACATTGTCTGCAGCCCTTGTTATTGTTGCTCAATTGCTATAGCCCTGAGGAGGAAGCAAAGGTCATTGACTATGCTTGATGACTAAGCTATGATGACTTCGTCTTGTTGGACTATGTTCCCTTGTTTCTGCATTTTCTTGCTTTTTTGACTAAATTTATTCTTTGGCTGAAGCTTTTTCACAGTCAAAACGCAGGCTGAGGACGTGGTGGGCGAGGTCGACAGGGTGCCGCTCGTTTCGGTGCTGCCCCCAGGGGAGAGGGGGGTGGGTGTCATAGGGGCCCGGTGAGCAAGTGCCAAGCCTGAGTGTCTAGCCAACCACTGGGCTTCCTGAATCCCTCTCCTCAAGGCTATGGGGAGTGAGAAGCTGTATCTCCCACTTAGGACGATGGTGAGAAGCCACACGATTCCCCCAGCCCTTCTCTAGCAGATGGGCCCCTAATGGGGCCAGATGTTACGATGGGTTGCAGAATTTTTATAGGTTTATGGGTGTTAAAAGATCAGGCTCTTTGGTGGTGAAAGTTTTACAGGCCAGTAAAAGTCTACTGGGGAAGATGGGAAACATGCAGCTGTAATGGGAAAGGCTGGAGCCAGGAGCCTGGAGAATCTCACCTCCATCCGTAACTAGCTTTGGGAGCCAAGGCAAGTCCTGGAGGCGCTCTGGGCTCTGGAGTATTTGAACCTGGACAATGGGAGCAAGAAAAGCGATCAGGGGTATATCATGAGACAGCACCGCAAAGAGTGGGAAGCTCCAGACACATGTGTGCAAACAGTCCTCCTTCCCGTGGCGCCTGGAGCTGCCGGACTCAAAGGAAGCCCGGGGCTGTGGGCCCTGCAGCCTCTGAGCTTTTCATGACCCACGCTGGCCTGCTGCCATCTGCGTGTCTGCCTCCGCTCCCTGGGAGGAGCCTGGCCGTCTGCAAGCAGAGCTCAGGAATCAAATTAGCCAGGCCTCTGCTTTTCCCTCATCCCCACTGGCCAAGGAGAGTTCATCAAGGCCTTGCACTAATTCTTATCTTGTTTAAAAGGGGCAAAAGTGACTCCACGGTTTCATCGGAGGCAATTTACACCCCGCCACTGGCCACGGCTCCAACTCCCCTTGTCTGGTGCGCCATCAAATCCATTAATAGGAAATTTCTTCAGGGGAAACCTGATTGCTGCTCCATCAGAGAGAAACGCACGGGCAATACATCTCCATCGGAGGCTGTGGCCTGCCCGGCTCGCTCTAATCCTGTTACCTAAGAAGCTACTTCTCAAATACACACATCGTGCCCATGTCATGCTCTCCCCCACTCCCAACACAATCGGGCAGTCTCAGAGGGTCCCAGGAGCTCACGGCAGCAATGCGGGCTCGTGGGACGGGGTCTCCAGGCTTCTTCACTGTCCCGAGGTGATCCACTCCATCCCTCCATGAGCCAGGGTCCCATTCCGGAAGGAACACCCACACTCAGGCCCCTCTGGGCTCAGGGCTCAGCATCTTCCTGCTGCGTCTGATTCCTCCTTCTCCCTTTTTTCTTTTCCTCTTTTTGTCCCCCCACTTCTTGCCTTTTAATTCTATTTTCCTCTTCCTTCTATTTCCTACAAATTTTCCAGTCTTTTCCTTTTCTCCTTCCTTTTATGTTTTTTTATTTTCCCCCTTCCTCTCCGGGTCTTTTCTACAGTTTTACCTTCTGCTTATTTTCATCTTCCTCTTGCCGCATTTTCCCTCCAGCTTTGGCGCTGCCCCTTGTAGAACAAGTCTAGTGTCTGATGCTCCTACCTTTCTGGCTCTGTCTTGGGGCAGGGGGCCTGGCTCGGTGGAAGGCACGGGACCCCAGGCCACCCAGGCCAGGACTTGGAGCAAGAAACAGGGGAGTGGGAGTGCCTCATGGATTCATACAGGGAGCCCCAAGGACACAGAATGGGACGTTTAGGGGCAGTGGGTTTGTGTGTCTGGGGAGCAGTTAAATGTGTACGTGCTCTTTACTGATGATGCCCAGTCTCCTGTTTAGCCGGGGACACAGTGTCGCCTTTGGAGTAAGAGCATAGTTCTCCTGCTTCTCCAACCCCACCCACTCTGCCCCAGTTCAGTGCTGGTGCTGCTGCTAAGTCGCTTCAATCGTGTTCAACTCTGAGGGACCCTATGGACTGTAGCCCACCAGGTTCCTCTGTTCATGGGACTTCCCAGGCAAGAATACTGGAGTGGGTTTACATGCCCTCCTTCAGGGGATCTTCCCAACCCAGGGATCAAACCCGGATCTCCCAAATTGCAGGTGGATTCTTTACAGCTGAGCCACTAGAAAAGCCCCAGCTCAAGGCTAGTGAGGGGTATAAGCGAAGGCAGCAGCCCGGAGCGCCTCTCAGCACACAGGATGTCCCCTTGCTCCAGGGGCTCCTGCAGCGCTCCGTCCCCAAGTTACTGCTTGGGGAACTTGGCCAGGCCACCTGGCTGAACGGGTGGACTAAGCTCCATTGGCCCTGTGACATCAGCCTGGCGGGCTTCCTCCCCTTCCCTCCCCGCCCTGAAACCTGATACAGCGGAAGGATTGATTGCTGGAAAACTTGGCGGCTTCCCAGCCTTGGTGGCCAGGGGCAGCGTAAGGCTGCAGCCTCAGGAGGTGCGGGAGGCTGGCTGACATGAGGCTGGTGGAGCGCGGGCAGGCTGGTCCTCCGCAGCACTCACCCTGAAGGCCGCTCCGAGAGAAGCGACGATGCTGGCCTGGGTGCCGCGGGCGCTGCTCGGCTTGCTTCTGCCCACACTGCTGGCGCCACGGGGAGAAGGTAAGGAGACGGTGGGACAGCACGCAGCACCTGGGCGGCAGCAGACAGCGGTGGGGCAGGGAGCGCTTCGCGCCTCCAAAAGTTGAGGGGAGGAGGGTTTTGGAGCAGGTGAGGCAGCAGGTAAGTCAGGGATCTTACCGCATGTGGGCAAGAGAGAATTTCCACGCCCCGGGAGGATCCAGCTAGAAAGTTGGGCATCTCGAGCAACGGATGAGAGCAGGGCTTGCAGAGTGGGGCGTGGCACAGCCTGCTGTGTGGGAAATGCTTAGCAGGCTCCTCTCCTCTTTGCTGGGGCCCCCAGACTCATCGAAGGGCAGCTGAAAGGGAAGTTAGAGCTCTCTTGATCCCCTCTCTCATTATAAACAGGAATGCTGTGGTCCAGAGAGGGGGAGGAATTCACCCAGGGTCACACAACTCCGCAGCAGTAGAGACCAGGACAAATGTCATCTTCTCTGACTTCACTGCTTTCATTGCACGAGCTCTCTGGGCCTTCGTCTTCTAGAAAAGTTCCTTCCAGGGCTCAACTCAGAGAGCACCAAACTTCTCTCTGCATTCCCTCACCCATCCTTTCCTGCCTCCTGGGGATACAAGGAGTTTTAGTCACAAAAGAATCCATCTCCTTTGTTGCAGACAATATTCCCCCATGGGAAGGTTTTCTCTCCAGCCAGAGCTCTTTGAAGCCAGGGTGGGCACAGTTAGGATATGCTTAAATACGCAGCTCTGAGGAGCTTAGGGGCACGATGGTTTTCCTCGTGTCGTTGGGGGTGGCCCAGTGGGATGAGCAGGCCCGGGCTGTGTGAGTTAAGACTGTGGTCTGGGGCTGCTCTGGCTGAGGGGGAGCTCTGTCTCTCCCAGCACTGGTCCTTGGCTCTGAGGTCTGGTCAGAATCCCAGACGATAAGACCTGGGCTGTTGCTGGTGCAGTGAAGACACGCAGGGACCTGGGTCTGAATCCCAGCTCCCTTGCCTGCAGGGCACTGTACTCGCCTGTCTGAGCCTTGGGCATCTTTATCTGTAACGGGGGCTCTCGTAACAGCCAGCCCAGGGGGGCTGATACTGAAATGAACAATATGCTCATTGACATTATTCCCAAAGGGGACGCTCAGTAAACATCCTCTCATCTTCCTCTCTCTCTCTGCTGTTGTTTTTCTGAAAGTTTATTGGGGAGCGGGGGAGGGGCAGGACCAATTTTCTGTAGGGATTGCATGCACGGTAGATGAGGTGGGAGAAGAAGCAACCTTGTCTGGAGAAAGCCCAGCCTGCCGGCCCCTGGGCTGCGAAAGGCCCCGCACCCCGCCACCCCCAGCAGCGCCCTGTTTCCTCCAGGGTGCCCCCTCCCCCGCCCCCGTCTTTCACCTTCGTGTTTCTGGCATCTTTCAAGAAATGCTCTTACTGTTTCCCAGAGGGACAACTGAGGCACTCGTGTGAAATCCCCGCAGTGTGGGGCGAGGACCAAGGTCTTGGGTTTTACGATTTTATCCTTGCAGGCCTCTGGCTCTGGGAGCAGCTTGGCTTCTACCTGGCTCCCTCCACACCCCACCCCAGCCCTCTTCCCAACCCCATGAAGCCAAGCCCAGAAAGCTAGAGTAAGGAGGAGCCCTGGCAAGGACCCCTCGGGAGTTTGCGTGAGCCTGGAGACGGGGCGGGCTCTCTCCGGGGTGGGTTCGCTGGGTGCCCACCCCTCTCTCCTCGTCAGCTGTGGGCTGGGGTCCCAGGGGCCGTAAGCTGTGCAGACGCTGAGCTCTGACCTCCGCTGAGGCTGACACCCCGCAGACCGCTGGGCTTAGGACCTGTGTGGGGGCCACACTCTCTAGGGTCTCATGCCAGGGCCAGCTTCCCTCGGCTCCCAGAGTCCCTCGTCCAGGCCCCAGAGGCCCACCTCCTCTGGACGAGCAGTGACTCTCAGCCCTTCTCATCCTTGGCCGACTAGGGGCCTCACCTGCCTCGGGCCACCTGCTCTCACAGCCCAGCTTCCTTTCTCATATAATCGGGGGCCGGGGCTACCCTTATGAATACCTTTGGGTTTTGGCAGGAACCTCTATAGGCAAAAAATTCTCCGGAGATGGGAATTTCAGTCTGTGGGGCTATCTGGGAGTTCTGGGAGGTGGGATTAAGTCGGGACACAATTTACTAGCTTTGAAACCCGGTGCAGACTCAGGCTTCGCTGTGTGTCCTTCCCAGCCAAGCACAGGGGGGACCCCCAGCCCCCCAACGCCTCCAGGCCGGCTCTTCTGCGGCTGTCAGATCACCTGCTGGCCAACTACAAGAAGGGTGTGCGGCCCGTGAGGGACTGGAGGACACCGACCACCGTGTCCATCGATGTCATCCTCTATGCCATCCTCAGTGTGGTGAGCACCCGGCCCCACTGCCCTGCTCCAAGGTGGACCTTCTGAGTGGGAGACCATGTGAGACCAAGTCCAGGGTGGGCTTTTGGGTGCCCACAGCCCCTGAGCCCTGATACCACAGCTCAGGATGCTCCCCAAACTGAAAACTGGGGTGGCGGTCTCTCCCACACCCTACATGTGGTTCTTCACACATAGCCCCTCCCTGTGTGAGCTGGATGAGGGTGCAGACTGTCCTTTTCACCTCTACGCCCTCACTGTCTTACACACATCCCTGGTACATGGCGGGTGTTACTAAATCGTGGTTGAAGAGTTAATCATAAATAAAGCAGTTAATCAATTACTGAAGTAGGGTGGAGTGCATTACCCAGCTAAGGAGGTTAGACGCTGGACAGAGATAAATAAGAAGGCAACTGCAGAGATGCAGGTGCTGCACTGGGGTAGGGTGGGCAGAACTGACTGCTCTGGCCATCTCTACTAGAGTCAACGGGATGTTTCAGGGAGGGAAATTGGGAATTGGATGGAAGGGAGGGAGAGTGATGAATTTTTCATTCTATGTCAGTCTGTACCTTTTGACTTCATGCTAAGGTAGGAAATAGGTGTAGATACATACATACAGATATAATTGTACAGATATACGTCTATATGATGTTATGTTGTTGTTTAGTCACTAAGTTGTGTCTGACTCTGCAACCCCATGGACTGCAGCACACTAGGCTTCCCTGTCCTTCCTCAAACTCATGTCCATTGAGGCAGTGGTGCCATCCAACCACCTCATCCTCTGTCGTCCCCTTCTCCTCCTGCCCTCAGTCTTTCCCAGCATCAGGGTCTTTTCCAATGAGTTGGCTGTTCACATCAGGTTGCTAAAGTTCTGAAGCTTCAGCTTCAGCATCAGTCCTTCCAGTGAACACCCAGGACAGATCTCCTTTAGGATGGACTGGTTGGATCTCCTTGTTGTCCAAGGGAGTCTTAGGAGTCTTCTCCAGCATCACAGTTCAAAAGCATCAATTCTTTGGTGCTCGGCCTTCTTTATGGTTGTTATATATGTCTTCTATTATTATCTTTTACTATGTTATTATTTATATATGTTTATGTAAAATATACAGAATAGAATAGAAGATAATAGAAGACATATATAGGAACACACACACACATGTGTTAAAAAAGAAATCCTTGAACTTCTTCCTAGGTGTCTCCTAGTAAAAGACCGATTTTTTTCTGGCTGGCCCCTTTCCCAACCCCATTTCCTCATTCTCAGGGGAGCAGGGCCACAGAGCAGCAGCCCCTGTTGGGGCTGGTGTGTGCCAGGTGGGCTCCCAGCCCACAGGGCCGCCTTTGCTGAGCTCCTGTTCCTTCCACAGGATGAGAAGAATCAGGTCCTGACCACCTACATCTGGTATCGGCAGGTGAGCCAACCAGCCCCTCCCCCACCCCTATGTCCTGGGACTGGGGGGCGGGCAACCCTTCCTGGGGGCACTCCTCTGTCTCAGAGGAGCCGGGCCTTCAGCAAGGGAAAGAGGGGAGGAGAGGGGAGAGGAGAGGAGGGAAGAGGCATGCTCATGAGATCTGGGGTCTCCTGGATCTGGGCCCCTCTGACCTCAGGACTGGGAAGCGGAAGCAGCTTAAAGATCAGCGGAGGAGAAGTCCCCCATCCTCCCCTCTGGTTTCCAAGGCTTTTCACAGCATCTCTAACAAGTGCTTGTCCTGCTTCTGCTGATCAAACACCTTGGTGACTGGCAGCTCAGAAGGCAGCCACTTTGCTTTCAAACAGCTCTAATTGCTAGAAAGTTCTTCCCTCCTTGAAAGCCAAACTGAAAAAAAAAAAAAAAAAAAGAAAGAAAGCCAAATTGGACGACGACCAAATCGGGTGATTGAAACAGGATGATCCCGTCACTGAGTCTTCCCATCCCCAGCCATTTCCCCACTCCTCCAGCTTCTGATGGGTGCTGCTCAGGCAAGGTGCGAGGAGGACTCTGCGACAAAGCAACACGGTGGGGTTTACATTTTAGACCAGTCATTCTGGCAGGGTAGTGGAGGAGGCATTAATCAAAATTTAGCAATAGGCATATCTACCCCGTGAGGTGCATACTATTATCCCCATTTACATATGTGCAGATCAAGACCCAAGAAGGGATTTGTCTAAGAGGAAATGGCAACCCACTTTAGGATTCTTGCCTGGAAAACTCCATGGACTGGTGTAGTCTGGTGGGCTACAGTCCAAAGGGTTGCAAGGAGTCGGACATGACTGAAGTGACTTAGCCTACATACCTCAGTTAATGGCTAGGTGGTTTATAACAGTAGAAAGGATTGGATACCTTCCCCGGGGGAGGGGCTACGTCTGTCTGTGTTGTATATATTCGCATGTAGGGATGTGTGAGTGCAGAGGGGACGGGACTCTTGGGTACCAGTGAGTTACCTGGGTAACACTGACACCCGGATTCTCCCAAGAAGATGCCCGCCCTGTTGTGTGGGCTCTGAGTGGTGAAGTTGGCCTGAGTTGCGGACGACCCCGCCCATGATGGACTGGGTTACCCGTGATCATTCCTGCTTCTCCCCTAGTACTGGACCGATGAGTTTCTCCAGTGGGACCCCGAGGACTTTGACAACATCACCAAATTGTCCATCCCCACAGACAGCATCTGGGTCCCAGACATCCTTATCAATGAGTTGTGAGTACTGTCATCAGACGCTTGGCAGCCAGGGGCATGGGGGCTGGGGATGGCGGGGGGTGAGGGACAAGATCCCTGCTGTTGTATTTGAGATGTTGCACCAGATCTGCAGAAATGGAGATAAAGTTGCATTGGGCCCTCATTCCCCTTTATCTTTTTCTCCCTTTCTTTTCTTTTAAAAGCTCCTCTTTTTGTATGTCTGATGCTGAAACTTTGCTCTTTTCCCTGACCCAAGGATCCCTTTCCAGGAAGAAAGGAGGCCAGTGAATGAATCCACGTTGCTATAATAGTCTAATGAGGAGCAGTGTTTTTAAAAGGGACAGGAACATTTCTGAAAGGAATAAAGTGCCAGCAATGGTTACCGCCCCTGGCCCAGAGGAGGCTTGGGGCCAAGAGACACTCAAACTTTTAAGCCACACATGTGTCTGAGTGGGCACAAATTGCACCCCAGGGTGAAGTGGGTCCCACCGGCCTTTATTCCCAGCAGCCAACATTCCTTCTCCTCATCCTTCAGGCTCCACTGCCTGGGCTTCTGAATCCAAGGGCTGGGAAGATGGCTGGGGAGACAGATGGAAAGAGAAGGTGGCAGGAGCCAGCCACCCTCCACCCAGTACCCAGTGCATCACCCACGTCCAGGGGGTGCCGCTCGCAATTCAGGGAGGCAGCTGACTCAGAGCCTCACTCCCTGCAGAGCTGAGGCTGGAGGGACCGGGGATCTCCAGTTTCAGGCTGGATCTCCATTTTCAACACTGAAGGAGCCTTAGTCTTGACTTCTTGTCTCTCAGCCTGATGCCACAGAAGGCCACAGGCTCAGCGCCCCTGGCTTTTCTCCAGGGCTCCCCTAGGGGAGCTCGGCCTGGGGTCTGCCCAAACAGAGTGGGGTGAGCTCTTATAGGACTTCGCCACTTGCCCTAATTCTTCTCAATGATTTCTCCAGTTCTGTTCCCACCCCCCACCCCTGGAAATGATTGTTTTCATTTCAAGGATTCCTAGGGATGGAACCCAAGGGTCTGCTCTCCCACCAAGCCTGCCCATTGCCCCCGGGCTGTCGATCCTGGGAACTGAGCTCTGCTCAGCCCGGGTGGGCGGCATATGGGGGACCACTGGCTGTTTTCCTTACGGCCTGGGGCTTTGGGGCCCATGGACTCCTGGCTTGCATTTTGTGGCTAGGTAGCCAGGGGGATAAAGGTGAAATGCTCTTTAACTGCTTGAAAAGTGGCCTTGGCAATGGCAGGTAAGGAAGCCTGAGATAAGAAGCTTGGACAAGCCAAGGCCAGACAAAACTGCCAGGTTGTCCTGTTGTCCGGACCCTCTCTACATTTCTTTCCCTGCCGAGCTGCTCAGAGACCTTCTGACATCCAGGGCTTGACCTGCTTCTTGAGCCCCAAACCCACCCCTCTTCCCTGGCCAGTGTGGACGTGGGGAAGTCTCCAAACATCCCGTATGTGTACGTCCGGCATCACGGCGAGGTCCAGAACTACAAGCCCCTCCAGGTGATGACCGCCTGCAGCCTGGACATCTACAACTTCCCCTTCGATGTACAGAACTGCTCGCTGACCTTCACCAGCTGGCTGCACAACAGTGAGTCCAGGGGCTTTGGGAGGTGGGAGAACAGGTGGGGGCCCAGGGATGCCTGCATGAGGAGCACTCCCAGGGATGTAGTCTCCCTTCTCCAATTCGCCCACCTCTTATTTGCTCAGCCTCTGTTTCTTCATCCTCTAAATGGCACTGACCGTGTCGCCCTCGTCGCCTCCCTCAGCTGTCCTAAGGATGGAATGAGGCGGTGTAAACTGAAGGCAAGATGCTCGGTCAGGGATGATGCTTTTCCCAAATCACAAGTAGGATCTGGCATGAAGTGTCCTTCAAATCTACGCACTTCTTTACTGATGGACCCTCCCCCCAGCGCCAGCTCCCCTCATCTCCACCCAGGTTACCGCAGCAGCCCCTAGCAGTCGGCCCCCATTCATCCTCACCCCCATGCCAATTCATGCTCCTCACAGCAGCCAGAGAGGTCTTATGCAAACGCAAACCTGGGGACTTCCCTGGCAGTCTAGTGGTTAAAGCTCAGAGCTTCCAGTGCAGGGAACTCAGGTTCCATCTCTTGTTGGGGAAGTAACAGCCCATGTGTATGTGGCCCCCCGCTACTCCAATTTTTTTAATTGAAAAGTCATGAAAACCTGATCATGTCTCTATCTACTTAAAACTCCCAGTGTTTCCCCAGAACTCCTGAGACAGGATCCAGGTCTCTTTCCTGGTCTCCAGGCCTCTGTGTACAGACACCACTTGGGCTCACCTGCTACTCACTGCCCGGCCCAGCTGCCTGCCTTCCAGGGCACCAGCACCCCTTTTTTTTTTCCTTACTCACATGCTGCTTCCTCTCCTTGGACACCTTGCCCCTCCCTCTCCTTTTCTCCTTCTGGCCCCACTCCTGCCCTCTGACACCTGCGGCAAGTAGGATCTTAGTTCCCCAACCAGGGATGGAATCCATGGCCCCTGTATTGGAAGCGTGGCGTTGTAACCACCGGACCGCCAGTGAAGTCCCTCCGTGAAAGAAAGAAAGTGAAACTGAAATCGCTCAGTCCTGTCCGACTCTCTGTGATCCCCTGGACTGTAGCCCACCAGGCTCCTCTGTCCATGGGATTCTCCAGGCAAGAGTCCTGGAGTGGGTAACCATTCCCTTCTGTCCATTCCTTTCTCCAGAGGATCTTCCCAATCCAAGGACTGAACCCAGGTCTCCCACGTTACAGGCAGATTCTTTACCATCTGAACGACCAGGGAAGCCCGAAGTCCTTCTACACAACTTCTAATCACAGCGTCCACGTCAGTCACTCCGTAAACCCCCTCCCGTCCCCCAAACAAGGCACCTCCATCACCCAATTTTATAGGCTCTAGTTTTCTCTCTACTTCTGTTCATTTGGAAAGACTTATTTCAACGTCTACTCCTCCGCCAGATGGAAACTTAGAGAGGGCAGGGACGTGATTTCTGGCCGTGATTAGCTCCCCAGGGCAGTGCTTAGCACAAAGGAAGATGCTTGGCATCTTCCACTGAGTGGATGCACGTTAGGTGCCCTCCCAGGTCCAGTGAAATGAGCATCACCCTACTACACAAAGGCACCCTCCAGTTCTATCCTGATTTTATTGCATTAACTGTAAATGACAAAGGTAATACTTAACTCCCTTGAACAAAAGTCATCATTGCAAATAATCTTTGACCTTTGACCTCTACTCTCAATCCCAAACTCTTACCAACAACTCCCTGCACCAAGACTTAATTTTTATCAGTATATATATATGAAATGATATATATATATATACATATATTTATATACTGATATATACTTCATGTAATATGTTCTTCCAGATCCTTCTCTAGCCTTTGAATATAAACACATACATACATATCTATGGAAAGTGCCCAGAAATTGCTTTATGGGTTTTTATTTTACATAAATTTAAAATATTTTGTGTTCTATTATATACTGGCACCTGAGTCTGTTTACTTAATAACCAGTCTTGGGCATTTTTCCAGTTAGTGCAGAGTTAGCTCCTCCTCATCAATGTTGACTGCTGTAGAATAGTTCATGGTTTGGACTGCATAAACTTTATAAAGCATTTCCCTAATTGGTGGGAATTTAGATCTTTTGCAATATTTTACTGCAATGGATACTGCTGTCTTCTGGTGCATATGCATATCTGTTTCACTAGTATAGATGCAGAGCAGTGAAACTCCGGTTCTGTAAGTGAGGATTTTGCTTATTTTTCTAATTTATCTTTAAAGACAGGCAGCTCAGGGACTTCTCTGGTGGGCCAGTGGCAGAGACTTCACGCTCCCAAAGCAGGGGGCCTGGGGTCGATCCCTGGTCAGGGAACTATATCCTGCATGCCACAACCTAGATCTCTCAAACTAGATCTCTCACATGCCATAACAAAGATGTGGCATAGCTGCATAAATAAATATGAAGGCAGGCATCTCTATCAAGGCAAAGATGAGGAAAGCAGCCTCTTGCTCCTTGCTCGTTGACTAAATGAGAAATTCTAACAGGAAACCTAGAAGGGTGCTTGAAGGTATAAGTGTGTGTGAGAGACAGAGAGAGACAGAGACAGGAAGAAGACATTCTTATAAATAGTTTGCCCGGTTGTTTGCATTTTGCTGGTCTCCATCCAAGACCCGTGCCCTCTGTACAGCCCCACTGCACGGACAGGTACATGGTGCACTATGACCTCAGCTTCCAGCCAAGAAACAGGCTGCAGATTAACAGCTGAGGCTTGCGCCACGCCACGTGGGTGCTGCTCCGCCACCACAGGGTCCGGCATGCCCCTGGCCTGGGCTCCAAAGCCGCCTGGTTTCTCCTGTCTCAGTCCAGGACATCAACATCTCCCTGTGGCGCCTGCCCGAAAAGGTGAAGTTCGACAGGAGCGTCTTCATGAACCAGGGCGAGTGGGAGTTACTGGGGGTGCTGACCCAGTTTCAGGAGTTCAGCATAGAGAGCAGCGACAGCTACGCAGAGATGAAGTTCTATGTGAGTGGGACACACCCCTGCAGGCGTCAGGAGGCACATGGGGAAGAACCTCCGCAGCCCTTTCCCAAGTGCGGGGTGCCCTGCAGCCTCAACGAAGCGGTTGGGGAAACACAGCTGCGCTGTCTCTTAGCTTTTCCTGAACGGCCACGAGCTTGGATCCAGAGACAGTATATGGGGTTTGTCTACATCTTTCAGCAGTCCAGGCTGAAAGCTCCATGCAGCAAGAGGCTCTGGGATGGGGAGGGGGGCTCCTGGGCCCAGAACCTGTCTGCCCCCACTCCCCCGAGCTCCTCTCTCGATCCCAGGTCGTCATCCGCCGCCGGCCCCTCTTCTATGCGGTCAGCCTGCTTCTGCCCAGTATCTTCCTCATGGTCGTGGACATCGTGGGCTTCTACCTGCCTCCGGACAGTGGCGAGAGAGTTTCCTTCAAGATCACGCTCCTCCTGGGCTATTCGGTCTTCCTGATCATCGTGTCCGACACGCTGCCGGCCACGGCCATCGGCACGCCCCTCATCGGTAAGGCCGGCTCCCGGGGAGGAGCTCCCTGGGGCCGAGGGACTGGCGCCTCTCCTACCTCCCGCGTGTGTCTCCCGCCCCGCCCCATCCTGGGGCACATAGGTGTCTACTTCGTCGTCTGCATGGCTCTCCTGGTGATCAGCTTGGCCGAGACGATCCTCATCGTGCGGCTGGTACACAAACAGGATCTGCAGCAGCCCGTGCCCGCCTGGCTGCGCCACCTGGTTCTTGAGAGAGTCGCCCTGCTCCTCTGCCTAGGGGAGCAGTCGACTCCCCGGAGGCCCCCGGCCACCTCCCAAGCCGCCAAGACCGATGACTGCTCAGGTGAGACAGGATAGGGAGAGCCCCACGTGGAGGGGAGCTTCTGGCCCGGAGGCAGGGACTTGGGGGTGCGGAAGCCTCTGGAGGGCTCGCCAGGCCAGGGAGCCAGGGCAGGGCCTGCAAACGGTATCATCCTGCACCAAGAACTCATGGCAGACTTCAGCCCAAGGCATCAGTCAAACCCCTTCCTCACTTTGTATTCACTCATCAGCCTGAGTGGAGGGGAAGAGGGTTTAGGAGTCCCAGAGACTGAGCGTGTCAGGACCCAAGACCTCTGGGCTGAGGGTGACCTCTCCTGCGATGGTCCCAAGCGAGGTCAAGTGGATGCCCCTCAGGCACTTATAGGGCTTCCCTGCTGGCTCAGCAGTAATGAATCTGCCTGCAATGTAGGAGACGCGAGCCTGATCCCTGGGTCGGGAAGCTCCCCTGGAGGAGGAAATGGCAACCCACTCCAGTATTCTTACCTGGGAGATTCCATAGGGTCTACAGGGGAGCCTGGTGGGCTACAGTCCCTTGGGTACCAAAAGAGTTGGACATGACTTAGCAACTAAACAATGACAACAGGCACTTACGGGACAGCTACCCTCCTGTCGTTCAACACTGCAGCCTGGTTCCTAACACTCTCTCATTGGAATGAGCCAAAGAGCAGGCCCTTTAGAATTTCAAACATCTATGAGGCAGAGAGACAGGGCATAGAGGGATACTCGATTCCTCCTGCTTCTGTCGGTGGTGGTGGTGGTGATGGATCGGTTGGTTGATTTCTTGAGCACTTTACCAGGTGTGTGCGAAGCATCTTCTGTGCATTATCATAGGTGATTCTCATGGTGACCCAATAGGATCCTCATTTTCATTTTTCAAATGAGGAAACAGAAGCATAAAGAGGCCTAACAGCTTGCCCTAAGCCACAGAGCCAGGACCTGACGAAGCCATGATTCAAACTCAGGCTCATCTGACTCCGAGCTGGTGTTTTAAACCCTCTACCCTTCTCCCCTCCTTTGCATCCTCCTCTGGCTGGGGCCTGGCCTTTCACAGAGGTCTGGTTAACCTAAGACCATCTCATCATGAGCTCGTGGGATAGACTAATGCCTAATTCTACTGCTCACCTGGTGAAGGCAGTGATCCGAAGGTGTATTTTCTGGTCCAGAAGGATTCAAAGTCATGGAGAGGAGTGCAGGGAGGTGATATGATGTAGTGGACAAAGCAGTGGATTTGGAGCCCGGATACCTGGACCTCGGTGGCCTCACTGTTAAATGATGCTCTGGCTGTGTCATCGCAGGCTAGTCACTTAAACTCTCTGAACTTTCACATCTTCATATGAAGAGTGTGGTTAGTAATCACTCTTAGTCTGCCTCTCCATGGGGCTGCTGGGAGGTTCTAATGATATAACGGATATATATGGCTAGGGAAAGCCCTTGAGTTAAAAAAAAAAATGCGTGTGTGAAGGATAAACATCAAATTCATGGCCTTGCTGACCTGGGGAGGGATGAAGGATGTGACTAAGGAGGGAGGATATACAGCGATCTTCAACTGCATCGGCTTTCTTTGTTTGCTTAAGTTGGACGGTGGGTACCCAAAGATGTAAGTTATTCTCCGTACTCTTTAGGTCTGAAATCATACATCATAAAAATGTCTGAGGCCTTAGAAATGTAAAAGTCAGTGTTCACATGAGCCTGCTGGGCCTCCCTCCTTTGCCAATGCTCTGTCCTTCTTCTAGACATGGGAAACCACTGCAGCCATCTGGGGGGACCCCGGGACTTGGAGAAGACCCCGAGGGGCAGAGGCAGCCCTCCCCCGCCGCCTCGGGAGGCCTCCCTGGCGGTGCGGGGGCTGCTGCAGGAGCTGACCTCCATCCGGCACTTCCTGGAAAGGCGGGAGGGGAGTCGGGAGGTGGCCCGGGACTGGCTGCGTGTGGGCTCCGTGCTGGACCGGCTGCTCTTCCGCATCTACTTGCTGGCGGTGCTGGCCTACAGCATCACCCTGGTCACACTCTGGTCCATTTGGCAGTATTCCTGAGTGGGTCCAGCCCAGCGCCCGGCCACGGGGGAGTGGGGAAGGGGGGATGGCGCTTGTTAGGATGGGGATGGGGGAATTTCAGAACCAAGGGGCACCAGTGATGTTCTCAAAGCACACGTACAGTTCCTGCCTGTTTCCAGTGCCAATGCATCTCAGCAGTCCCAAACCAGGGCCTCACTCTCCCTCCCCCAAACTTGGTGTTTAAGATTCTTCCATCCTCATCCACTCCCCTATAGGCCCATTATAGCTTTAAAACACACTCCTGGATCAGAAGAAACACACACATGGCCTGACTTCACTCTCTCTAAACATCAAGCCTCAGTTTCCCCAAGGGCATGTCCCTGAACTGGCACTTTGGAATTCTGCTCACCCCCGCAGCCTTGTTTTGAGGTGGAGATAAGCCAGCTCTCTGCCACATGGGCCTCATTACTCTGCATTAGGTTCATCCAACCCTAAGGTCTCCCTGCTCACCGGTGGCCACTTCCCTGAACACCCACCAGATGAAAGAGATAATAAAATGCAATGAATCCCTAAACTCTCTTATTGGCCCTTTGTCAGCATCCAGGTGGATGGAAGATGAGGTCTGAAGTTACTGGTGGTAAAGAGGTTGGGAAATTAATCTGTGGTTTCAGATGTTTGGTGCTTTCTGGCCCAAGGAATTAAGATGTGACCAAATGGTGGCTGTTCTGAAGGAGACAATTGGAGGGGGGATTCAAGGTGTGAGGATCAGAACCATGAACACTTAGCAGTGGGGAGGTGGGGAGAATGATGCTCAGTTCTGTAATCCCCTGGAAAGATGATGGAAGGGTCTACATAGTCCTGTTATCAATGTGGGCTCACAGCCTCTTGGGAAGCTGGGAACCCACTCTTTCCGGGCAAGAACATCAGCACCATGGCCAGCACCCACTGGTTTGGTGTATGAAAGCAGAGAGTGCTAAGTCTTGTGTTCATCTAGCTCCTTCTCTCAGCAGCCGACCCCTGGCATATCCACAAGAAAGCAGGACCATGAGGGAAGGAGAGTCCAAGGCATGGTCTCTGACCTTACATATCAGATCCTGGCCTCTCTCACACACATTAGGGTTTCAAGATACGCTAAGGAACATCACAGGCTTCCTCAGTGGCTCAGCAGTAAAGAAACTGCCTGTAATGCAGGAGACACGGGTTTGATCACTGGGCGAGGAAGATCCCCTGCAGAAGGGCATGGTAACCCACTCTGGTATTCTTGCCTGGAGAATCCCATGGACTGAGGAGCCTGGCAGGCTACATACAGTCCATTGGGTCTCAAAGAGGCGGACACGACTGAAGCAGCTGAGCATTCAGGCATGCACAAGGAACATCCAAACTCCATCACTCCCTCCACCTAACAAGTATTCAGAGGAAAGGAATGCTAGAACACACTAAGAATGATGGCTGGGAGTCTGCTGTGTTTGCCTGAGACTTTCTCTGGTTCTTCCTTTCTCATTCCAGTCTTAGTCTCCCTGTCTCAGGCTGCCTGTCTCTTAGGAACTGAAGTCTTCCAGGCTAAATGAAAAGGACTTCTTAAAATATCTGGGATGAGCTGTTCCAGGCTGGCCAACTATAAGGGGTTCAGCGCAGAATACCTGAACTGATACCTTCCCTTGACCCCAAGCTCTTGCATCTCTAATTTTCAGACCATCCAAGGAGGCTGGATGGAAGGCAGAGCCTTGAGAACTTCATGCCTGAAAAAGCCCAGAGGCTGAGGAAGCAGGCTTGTCTGGTTTAGATTCCCGGACCTGCTTCTCACCCAGCCTCCCCAGCAGAAGGAACTCATGAAATATCATCTAACCGGTTGCTGGTTTCTAATATAAGCTGGGATGAGTTTCATCTGCTGCTTTCACCTCAGACATATGTGCTCTTGATATTAGTAAAGGATTTTCCTGTGTTTTGTTGATGCGTAGGTTTTCCAGAAAAAAAGCAGGAGACTGTGGGGCTGGAGATTGGCTCCCATTCACAGTGGGCTTCCCAGGTGACGCAGTGGTAAAGAATCTGTCTGCCAATGCAGGAGAAGTAAGAGACTCTGGTTGGATCCCTGGGTTGGAAAGATCACCTGGAGGAGGAAATGACGACCCGCTCTAGTATTCTTGCCTGGAGAATTCCATGCACAGAAAAGCCTGGTGGGCTACAGTCCAAGGGGCCACAAGTGGGACATGACTGAACGACTAAGCACACGCGCAAGCACACAATAGTTGCCTCCTGCTGAGCAAAGGCTGGGCTAAAGATGCTTATCCTGTTTATCCCGACTTTCTCAGGATGATCCTGGCAGCCCATGCTTGGGAGCCTGGTCTTGGGATCAAAGCTGTTCCATGCCACTCTCCACTTGGACTTGCTGGGCCAAGTCATGTAGTCATGGGCCAGTCATGGGTCTCATGTCTCAGGCCAGAGAGAGAGAGGAAGCAAGCAGGATGGTCTGGCACCGTCTATGCACCGCTGATCAGTAAGTGGGTGGCTATTGACAAAGTGTCCAACCAAAGAGCTAGTAAGACACTCATCAACCTATTGATTCCCCATCTCCCCCTCCCGGCTCTTCACCTACAATCAATGGGGCAACAGAGCCCAGCGTGGAGGCAGCCAATTAACCACCTGGAGAATGAGCTGCCACGTGTAACATCCTCCGCTCCACTAGCCACAGCCAATCAGCTCATCGATCCAGCAACCAGGCTGGGAAACTGAGGCCCAGGGCCGAGATTCCCCGGGTTTACTCACTCCTGTCCATCGGTATCGATCTAGGGCGCCACCCAAGCAGACCTTTACCCGGTCTGGGATATGAGAACAGGCGGAAGCTCCCTCCACCTGAATCTCTCCCAGATCTTCCCTTCTGCTCCCTCCCTCTTTTTCTATCTGAGGCAGAGAGAGAAAACCAGAAACCACCTGTGTCTTTTTTTTTTTTTCTCTTATCTTTCTATTTTTATTTTTAATTTTTTTTTCTTATTTAAGCCAATTTTCTCTGTCTTTAAACTTTTAATTTTATATGGAGTATAGTTGATTAACAATGTTGTGATAGTTTCAGGTGAGCAGCAGAGGGACTCAGCCATACATACACATGTATCCATTCTCCCCCAAACTCCCCTCCCATCCAGGCTGCCGCATAACATTGAGCAGAGTTCCCTGTGCTAGACAGTAGGTCCCTGTTGTCTGTCCATTTTTAAATATAGCAACGTGTACATGTCCGTCCCCAAATCCCTACCTATCTCTTCCCCGGTAACCACAATGTTCCTTCTCTTAAGTCTGTGAGTCTGTTTCTATTTATAAATAAGTTCATTTGTATCATTTCTTTCTAAATTCCACATATAAGCAATATCATATGATATTTCTCATTCTCCACCCAAGTCTTTAAAAACAAGTGCTTCTGAGAAGCGCCCAGTTCAGTTCAGTTCAGTCGCTCAGTTGAGTCTGACTCTTTGCGACCCCATGGACTGTAGCACGCCAGGCCTCCCTGTCCATCACCAACTCCCGGAGATTACTCAAAGTTATGTCCATTGAGTCAGTGATGCCATCCAAGCATCTCATCCTCTGTCATCCACTTCTCCTCCTGCCCTCAATCTTTCCCAACATCTGGGTCTTTTCAAATGAGTCAGCTCTTCGCATCAGGTGGCCAAATATTGGAGTTTCAGCTTCAGCATCAGTCCTTCCAATGAATATTCAGGACTGATTTCCTTTAGGATGGACTGGTTTGATCTCTTTGTTGTCCAAGGGACTCTGAAGAGTCTTCTCCAACAGCGCAGTTCAAAGGCATCAGTTCTTCAGCGCTCAGCTTTCTTTATAGTCCAACTCACACCCATACATGACTACTGGAAAAACCAGAGCTTTGACTAAACAGGTTCTCTATAGCTCATCTCCACTCCTCTGCTGCAGCCTTCTCCACTCACCTCCCAAGAATCCCCGTTCTCACCTCCTTTCCCATCCACACTGCTTTCCAAATCTGTCATTTCTACTCAAAAGATTGCCTTAAAGGACTTGAAAGAGCCCAGCCTGAGCGACCCAGCCCTGTATAGAGCTCCCAGCTGTGGAGCTCACGGCCTGCATTTCAGCGAGGCTGCCTTTCCCGTGCGGTGGGGTTCATCTGCGCTCCACGACCCCAGCCCCCCCTGCAAGAGTGGACATTCCGTGGCTCTGGCGAGGGTCCAGGCGAGCAGGAGAGCTCAGAGTCAGGGTTTGCGCTTAGGGGAGATTCCGCTCAGAGCCCGGGGAGGGAAAGTTGCCCGCTGCCCGGAGCGGGAGGGCGCGCCCTCGGAGAGGTGTGGTTCCGCACTCCCCAGCCACATCCCTCTCCTCCCCAACCCCCACCAGACTCTGAATCAATACATTTTGAATCTAATCTAATAACAGAGATTTAACGAGGGGATAATGCTTGTGGAGCGGCCGGGCGCTTTGTCTCTTCTTGCAAGCGGCAGCTGGGGCCCATTATCTGGGGACAATGCCCCATGCTAATCACTCCCTCTCTCCTCCCAGGGTTTGGGGGGAGGGTGTTGGGCAAGAGAGGGCAGCTCCTCCCCTGATTGGAGGGGAGTGGTGGGGTGGGAGAGGGGGCAAGACGTGAGAAGGGTCTGGCTGGGGGCCCCTCTCAATTGTCTTGGCCTGACACCAACCCCGTGGCCTGGTCCCCACACTGTCCATCCCGAGTAGTCAGGGCTGGAGCCCCAATAGCACAGCGCACAAACAGCAGATAATTACCCATCAGCTGCAGTACCAGGGGCTGGGAGTTGGGTGGGTTTTGTTGGGTTGTTTTTTTTTCTTTCGTCTATCTTGATCCTCTATAATTTAAGCTCTCCCATTAAGGTCTGTGATTGGCCGGCCCTGACTGTCATGGTTAGAGAATTAAACCCTGGTTTTAGAGACCAAGAATACCCTTCTCTGAGACAGAAGCCTGTCCACATGCTCTCTCTCCCCTATCTGGGACCTTCTATCTGGACTTGACCTGAAGGAAGATGGGTGAAGGTTAGACTGCAGGAGGAACTTCCTGAGAGCCATATTCCTGACAT